GCACCCCCTGGGGGGATGCGAGCTACGCCGTCCCCGACGACTCCCTTCCCCCGTTGCCTCGCGCCAGCGGTAGGCGTGTAACACTGTGGCAGCGCCGCCAGTGTACCCCCAAAAGTCTCTTCCGTCAGGTCCCCAAGGCTTGGAGCTCCGCTACCAAGGACTGCTGCAGACACAGGAAGCACCCTGGAATGGCCGGGTTGGGAGACATCCTCGGGGGATGCGGCTCCTCGATGGAGGAGTTCCGTCAGGGACTCTTAGACACCGACGGCCAGCCCATGGATTCCTGCAAGGCCCGTTCGCTTCTGGTGAGTGTTTCTATGGCCTTTCTCTCATGCAGAGCAGGCCGGGGACGTCATCGAAGCCGTTCTGGGGTTCTGCGTCCCTTGGCAAGAGGTCCACCAGGATTTCCGAAGCCGGTTCGCCAGTACCTGGAGCCTCACCCTGGAAGACCTGGCTGACCTGCACGGTCGCATCGAGGCGGTGCTACCTCACATCTCCAAGCTCGTGGCATTGGCCCATCACCACCCGGCTGCGCAGGAAGCCAGCTGCCCGCAGACCTGGAGCGAGATGGACAGGAAAGACTTCCAGCTACAAGCGCCGATGATCGTTCTCGAACGGATCGTCCCGGCAACAACTCTTACCTGCCTGGACACGCGCGGCTGCTCAGTGTGTGCACTACACGTCGCGCTGGCGGGGTCCGACGCCTCCCTCGGTCCCGACGACAGGGTTGCGGGCCTTTCCTACATCGGCGGCGGACTTGCCTTGTCCCAGACCGACCTCAATGCCCCTCCACCGCCGGCTCCGGCCCCGGGCACCAGACTGGACCCTCCGTTCATCCCCGACGACAGGCTCGTGCTCGAGAAAAAGAACAACATATATACGTGCGACGGTTGCGGGAAGGACCACCTGGCTGCCGCCGAAGGCACCTGGATCTCCGACAGCACGCGACATATGTTCGCTCAGAATGGACCTCAGGCATACATCAACGGTGCCAACATGGGCTGGCATTGCGCTGGCTGCTGGATACGACACCTCGAGGACAATGGCTTCCCTACGCCTGCCGGAACGAAGCTCGCCGACATAATCAGGGAACATGAGCAGCAGATATCGGGGACCAGCAACGACAGAGCGAGCGCCCCCCTGGGACTCCTTCCGCTTGGCTACGGCTGCAGCCCCCTGGCGGACACGAGGAAGTTAGCTGACCTCTTCATGGAGCCGACGGGGATGAAGATCCCCGAGTGCGCCAATACCACCATTCCGATCCTCCGGATCCGGGACGACCGCTTCGGCATCAAAGCCGCTCAGACGCGGACCTACTCCGCGCGGTGCGACACCTGCCCCCAGGGGGCCCCGCTCCTGGTCTGGGACCCCGGCTCTCCGCCTCTGGGGTGCTTCATTTGGAGGCCGGCGGAAGGCATAGGCGTTCCCGAGCAACATAGGCTGCCCCCCATCGATAAGCGTGCCCTGACCTGGTGGGGACGCCAATGGAACGCTACTTGGTGCTGCCTGGTCCCGATCTGGAACATAGGCCCGGCCACCCTGGACCGCATCCTGGATCGCGACTTCAGGTCGCTGTATCCAGAGGAACCTCTGGCCCTTCCCCCGCCCAGCAGCCAGATTGGGTTCGAGGCACCTGTGGACATCGTGGATTCTCTCCCTTGGCTTGGCGAGGACGCCAAGGCCCAGGACAAATTCACCAAGGTCGGAGCAAGCAATCCCCCTGGACCCAGCGCCACAGGCAGCTCTGGTGCAGCGCCAGAGCCAACACCCATCACCTCCCTGGCAGGGTCCCCGCCATCTGACGCGTGTTCTGTGGGCGACGACAGGCCAGACACTCCCATGGCGGCCGACGCAGACAAGTCTCAGGGCACGGTGGACAACGACTCGCGCATGGGCCACCATGACCCGCCCGACTACGACAACGGCGAAGGCGCGGAAAACGGGCTCCCCCTTCACAAGATGGAGCCCGACTACGAAGAAGATGAACCCGCTCGTCCTCCCACGTGCTCAGAGTCGGCCCAGGAGGATGATGACAGTCGGTCAGGCGGCGATGCCCCGCAGCGAAGCCCGTCGGTGCACAGCTCTGACACCAGCCGCGAGGATACCGCGACCTCAGTCGCAGAGGATACGCCCTACGCCGACCGCAGAAGGGGTCCAGCCCGAGACCCCGCGAGGCACGAGAGGGCCAGCGACGGTGGCGGCTCGCGGTGCGAGCGCTCTCCTGCGCCCACCCCGATGCCCCCTGGACGGAGGCCCTATCACTCTCGCCATACTGGCTCTTCGGAACAGGACGCACTCAACCTGTTGTCCTGCCCTGATGGAGGCGGCCCAATGTACAAAGTCAGGCTGGGCACCGTCGAGCTCGAACGTCCCGACGAGACACCAGCCAGACGCACATCCAGGCTTCAGTCGGAGCTGGGAGCAGTCCTTTGCGCACTGTGGACAGCGAACACGCAGCGTACCCTGCCCCCTGGATGGAGGGCGCCCAAGTCCGACCCGAAACTACACATGCCCTCGGATATCATAAATTTCCTAAGAGGCCTGGAAGGACTGCGGGTACGACGCCTACGAGATGAGCAGGAGGCTGGGCTATGATATCGACTGGAACAGGATACGAGCCAACTACTTGCGTCACTCCAAGACAGATGACAGGGGCAAAGGCGGCTATCGCCACACGGGCTGGCGCGACCGTGCGACAAGTTCCTGGGGCACCTGGGGCAGTTGGCAGGGCGAGTGGCGCGACGGATGGCGTGAAGATCACTGGCAGACGGGTGGCAAACGCGGCGGAGGTTACCCTGACGATCGGGATGATCGAGATGAAAAGAGACTCCGCTGGAGGGACTGAACTCCCCCCCTGCCCTCGCCGCGCCCCAGTGCCCGCGCCACCACCTGCACTTCGCAACGCGCTACCGCGGCCCTCCGCCGCTCTCTCCTTCAACCTGGGGCTCCACCACCGCCCCTCCCCTGAACGGCACTCTCTCTCACCCTTGGACCTTGGGGCGCCGCTCGGTGATATCATTTGCTCCCTGCGTGACACCGCGCATCCTGCAGACCAGCTTGCCGCTGGCATCGCTGCCTTTCTCCACCGGTGGCCGCCGCCCTCTCGTCGCAAGGCCCCCCCTTTCCTCGCTTCGGTTTCACGTCCTGAATTCCAGCTGGCGCTGCCCAGGCCGCGCCGTGGGCTCCCTAATCGCGGCGCTCTGCCGCCCTCCACCCGATGCGCGCACCTCCTGCCTTTGGATCCAGGTGCGCGCTTCGGCAATGCCGCCCACCGCCTCTCCGCAGTGGACTCGCGGCCTTAGGCCCTACTGTAGATGTCTCACCGCCAGGCGTTCCTGGCCTGTCAGTGGGCCGCGACTCGCCTGTCCACTGGCTTTCTCCCTGGATTTTCTAACCGATTGAACGGCCTTCCGCCGTCACCCTGGACCTTTTGAACAAGCAGCGCGGCCTTCCGCCGCCACCCTGGGACGCGTCTTGGGTACATGGCGGTCTCGTCCCTCTGGTGCTAGACGACTCGGTTTGGGTAGCGCTGAGACACCTTCGATGTGCACACTCCTTGGGGTCGGCCGTGTATCGTGCCCTTCGGCGCCCTTCCACTCGTCGGATCTGGGCTGACGCATCTCAGTTGTGGAAGGTACTCTTGTCATCATGCTCCACACCCTGGATGCGCTTTCTTGCGTCGCGACTCGGATCGCCGTCAGCCTTTTCCGCTGGACTTGTCCCCAGTCAGTCTGTGGTACCCGTCAGGCTCCCTGGATCGGTGTCCTCGGGAACTCTCAATGCTGGACGGCCTTCCACCGTGACCCTGGATCAGTGGCTTTGAGGGACGTGCCTGGGTATTCGCGGTTTCGCCCTCGTGTGCTCTCCGACTCGTTCTGGACAGCACTGAGACACTGTGATGTGCACACGCCGCGTTTCGACCGTGTAGCGTGCACTAAGGCGCCCTTCCACCCGCCGGGTCTGGGCTGAAGCATCTCGGTGTGGAAATTTCTTGGCAACACGCTTCACACTTTGGATGCCGTTCTGGCGTCGCGGCTCGTTGCCGCCGTCGGGATCCCGCTGGACTTACGTCTCCAGTCGTCTGTGCTACCCGTCAGGCTTTGGATCTACGTCCTCGGGAACGTTCCTCTCGTTCGCACCTGGACTTTGGGAACGCCTCTCGCGCCATGTTGGCTGCGCTTGGTCTCCTCGGTGCCTACCTCAGGCCCGTTGGACGCACCGCTGCATGTCCGTTCAGGGGCCGCCTCTGGCTTCTGGATTGCATCGGCTCCGCCGCCCTGGACGCTGTAGTGTGCCGTCTGATCCGCGGCCCCGCGCGCGTGTAACAATTTAGTCGCGGCCGCGGCCCGCCCGCGACCTCCCGCCGCTGGCGCTTCCGCCTGCGGCTGTAAAAAAATACCCCCACCAGCCCGTCCAGAAACGACGGCCCAGGCGAGTAGAGTGTCGTCCTGAGGGGCTTTTTCGGCGTCTTGGGTGCCTCAAGGGGGGGGGGGGGGCTCTTTGGGCCGTTTGGGATCCTCTTGGGGGCCTCCTGGGGCCATCTTGGGGCCTCTTGGTGCCCCCTGGGCGCTTCTTGGGTCCATCTTGGAGGAAATCGATCAAAGAAGAAGGGAGCTTCAATTAGTGCTGCCCCCTCTGGGGGCCAAACTGGGGCCAAAACTTTAGTACAATCAATGATGTTGGCTTCCTCGCCGAGGCCGTTTTGGACGCCCTGGCCGCCCCCCGCCCCCCCTGTCCAGGTCAGTGGGGAGGGGGCATGGGGAGGGGTAAACCCCTCCCCGAAGGGGAACAAGGAGGGGTGGAAGAGGAAACGCTCTAAACCACCGACGCCCAGAGGGCTGGTGGGATTAAAGACGGGGCCTTCAAGGCGCAGGGGGGAAAACGGGGACAGGGCCAGGCGGGACCAAAGTTCCCGAGAGACGCCGAGTCCCAAGCAAAGCGAGCCACGCGCGCCTACTCACAAGGGAGCAACAGGCGCTGGCGGACAGGCGGGAGGGCCTTCAATCACTCTCCGACTCCGAGCCGCGGCACGCCAGGCGGCGGCGGACCCTACGGCTCACCAGGCCGCCGCTAGGCGCGGCGCTCGCGGCTGCGCGCTCCTCCTCGGCGGTCTCACTCGCGCCGAGGGCGCCAGCACTCGGGCCTGGCCGCTGCTGGGGCAGGCTGGCAGCCGCCGCCTCCACTGCCTGCGCTGCCGCGGGAGCCGCTGGGCCGCTGCCAGAGCTGCTGGCCGCGGCTGAGGCTACGCCTGCAGGCTCCGCCTCCATGCCGAGCCACTCCAGGTAGCGCTCCTGGGCGCGCCCTGGCACTGGCCCTTGCGAGCGCAAGGCAGGGATGCCCTCAGCTCCCACCCTCTGCTTGCCCGCCCGAGGCCTGCCTCCAGGATGGAGCCCTCGCTCCCGCAGGCTGCGCTGGTTCCTGCCTGACTTGTTGGTCAGGTAGCTGGGCCCTGGGCACTGCACCTTCAGACGAGACTTGCCTCCCGCGTGGCTGCCCAGCACCTTGTAGGCGCCACACTTGGAGCACGCCACGATCTCCTGGGTGTCCTCACCTTCGCCCGCGCAAGCATAGCTGAGCACGTGCCCCAGGACGCTGAAGGCGACAGCGGTGGCCGAGAGGGCGGCCGTGCTGCTCCCCGTCGAGCGGCCGTCCTCCAGGCGTTGCCGCGCGGCTGGAGCGCCGCCGCCGCGGGCTTCACCAGCCTGCGGGCGGTCCGCTGCCGCAGCCGAGTGCACCTGGCCGATCCCGCCAGCAGGAGGGAGCCCTTCGCTGCACAAGGCCGAGCCATCGAAGTACTGCTTGCCGTTGTGCCTGCCGACAGCAACTGGCTGTCGAAGCCTCCAGATACGCATCGTCCCGAGTGCGTTGGGAAAAGGAGGCGCCTCGCGCGTGCCGCGCCTTCACGTACCGCTCGATTCCTGGCCCGAGCGGCCGCCCGATGGCGCCCCCGAACAACAGCCGCAGCAAGAGGGGGCTGCAGTAGAGGTTCCGCCTCTCATGGCGGTTGACGGCCTGCACAGCACCCGAGCTTGCAACTGAGCTCCTCGCCCGAGGCTCGGGGAACATGGGATCGCACTCGTCACCGAGGTCCACGACCATGCTCCACTCCGACTCGAGGCACCAGTCGACTCTCCCCTGGGTCCGCACCACCGCGTCGACGGGCGAGGCCCAGCGCATCCCAGAGGCGGCCATAGCGCACCTGGCTGCTGCCGCCACCAGTCCCTGAGCCCGAGCCCTGAGTGGCTGCTCGGCTGGCTGCTGCGGATCCGCAATCCTGGCCATCGCCTCGGGATGCCCAGGTGCGCCTGGAGGATGAGGACATAGCTGGGCCCTGCAGCGTGCTCTAGGTACCTGGGCGGGTCGATGGCGCCTATGCCGTGGAACTCCACCAACTTGCTCTCGACGACCTCGGCGCGGCCGCACTCGTGCAGGCGCAGGCCCGCCGCACAGGTCTCGCTGGGCACTCGCTGGCCCTGGCTGCGCCCCTCCGACGCCGCTCCCAGCGGACCTGCCAGTAGGACGAGAAGCCAGAGGAGCCAAGTCCGCTGCCTCGGCAGCCAGCTCCCGCTTGCATGCCTGGGCCACCGTCGGCCACTCGCCCAGCGCCTTGCCGCTCCGCTCGGCTTGGCCTCGCTCCGCGGCTGGCTGAGGCTGCCAGGGGCCACCGCCGTCGGCGAGATCGCCATCGTCGCTGCAGATCTCCTCCATGGGGCAGGACTCCGCCCACGGCGCACGCTTGGGGGCCACTGGGGCCCCCTCGAGCTGCGCCCGCACGGCCTCCAACTGGGCGCGAATGGCTGCCCAAGCCACCTCGAAGTTGCTGGAGCCCCAGGCCTCTGGCAACTTCTCCAGCTGCATGAGGAGCCCTGGTACCTGGCCGGCTCCTGTCCACTCGGCTGCGCGTTGGCGGCGCAGCGCCTCCGCCTCCTCACGGGCTGCCTCCTCGAACGCCTGGAGCGCACGGCTGGCCTCCTCAACCTCCGCGTCGAGCTCCGCGAGCTCCTCCTGGGCCTTCTGGAGCTGGGTCTCGACGAGGTTGCGCGCCTCCTGCTTCTGCTCGAGCTCCAGGCGGGCTGCCCGGAGCCGCTTCTCACCCTTGCTGATGGCGTTCGCCTCCCTGTGGAGCCGCGTCGCCCGTGGCAAGGAGGAGGCCTCCTGCTCCGCTGCCGCCTTTTGGGCCCTGACCAGCTCGGCGCGACTCGCCTCCAGCTGGCTGGCCCCGACGTCGGTGAAGCAGCCGTCCACTCCGTCAGGCGGCTCGGCCTGCAGCGCCTCGAGCTGCTCGACTGCCGCCTGGAGCCTCTCGATCGCCGCGGCGCCTCCACCGCTGGGCGTCCCACTCGCCGCCGACGCCGAGGTCTGCGACTTGGTGGAGGGTGCCCGCGATGCCGCGCCGCGGGCCTGCCTCTGGGCACGGCGCCCTCGTGGCTGATCCACCCAGCCGTCCTTGTCTGCCCTGGGCCTCGCCTTGCCTGGGGACATTCCCAACGCCCAAGTCGGGGCCGCATGCCCACAGCCAAGGCACGAGGCGCGCCAATCCCAGTTCCACCCTCCGCAGCCTCACATCCAATAGGACTTGCTGCGCCTGCTGCTGCCACCGCCACCCGGGGACCTCGCCATGGCCACTGCCGCGCTGGCCGAGGGGCTGCGCCTCCGCGCCGCGAAAGCAGGGAGCTGAAGCACGAAGTGCACAGGCCCAAAGCGCGGAGACCCTCGCGCTCAGAGCACCGCGAACGACTCGCGGTTGTCGGGTTCTCCATGGCCTTGAGCCAATATGGCCACGGATCTGTGATCATGCGTGTTCTGCCGTGTTTCTATGTGTTCTGCCGTGCTCCTGCGTTTCAGCCGTCAATTATGCCGTGCACCTGTGTGTTCTGCAGTGCTCCTGCGTGTTAAAGTTAAAGTTAAAGACGGGGCCTTCAAAGCAAAGTGCAAGCACACGGACAGGGCCAGACGGGACCCGCGTTCCCGAGAGACGCCGAGTCCCAAAGGCACCGAGGGCGGCGGAAGCCTGCTCCAAAATGGAGCAGCAGGCGCGAGCCACAGCGATGCAACCTTTCACTCACTCACTCACGGACAGGCCGCCGCGGCGCGCCACGCGGCGGCGTACCCTGCGGCCCTCCAGGGCTCCGCCCGCAGGGCCAGCCGCGGCGGCGAGCTCCTCGTCGACAACCCCGAACTCGCCGAGGCTCCCCGCCCTCGCTGCAGCCGGGCGCCGCTTGGGCAGGCTGGCGGCGGCCGCAACGACGGCCGCATCCGAAGGGTCTCCTCCTAGGCCCGCAGCCGCTCGCGGCTCAGCAGCCGCCGCTGGGGCGCTGCCTGCACTGCTCGCCGCGGCCGAGGGTCTGCTGCTGGCTCCGCTGCAGTGCCAGGCCACTCCAGGTGCCGCTCCTGCGCGTGCTCTGGCACTGGCCCCTGCGAACGCAGCGTAGGGATGCCCTCTCCTTCCACTCTGTGCCTGGCAGCTCGTGACTCCTCTTGCCTCCTGCCTCCAGGATGGAGTCCTCGTAGCCACAGGCTGCGCTGGTTCCTGCCGCCCTTGTCGGTCTTGTCGCCTGGGCACCGCTCCTCGAGGCGAGGCTTCACCCCTGAGCGGCCGCCCAGCGTCATGTAGGCGCCACACTTGGAGCACGCCACAAGCTCCTGGGTGCCCTCACCTTCTCCAGCGCAGGCGTAGGAAAGGGCATGTCCCAGGATGCTGAAGGCCACAGCACTGGCCGAAAGGGCTGCCGAGCTGTTGCCTGTCGAGCGGGCGCTCTGCGGCCGCTCGGCCGACGGCCCCTCGCCCCTGGCCTCCTCCGCCGCCTGAGTTCTCTCGCCGTCGGCGAGACGCGCCTGGCTCCGCTCAGCAGCAGGAGGGAGCCCTTCGCCGTCCCTGGCCTCGATGCCTTGCCCGAGGCAGACGGCCCACCAGATCCAGCGCCCGAGTTCCTGCACGAACCCCGCCTGCGCCTGGTGCACGCCAACGGTCCGCTTGTCCACTGCATGCGCCTGGGCCCTCTTCACGGCAAGGCGGTCGGCGTGCTCGTTGCCGCGCCTCTGGGCCTCCGTCAGGCGCCCGTCGAACACTGCATGCCTCGAACAATCGATGTTGACCTCCTCCACTGCTGGCCTTGCGGGGGTGGCGAACATCCAGGCCGCTACGTCCTCGCCGTCCTCGGCCGTCCGCTGCGGGCAGCGGTTGCGCCCGACTGCGCCGTAGACCTCTGCCACCAGGTTGCCGTCGCCGTCGCGGTGCGCTGTGGCTCCGCCCTCGCGGCGCCAGGTGCCGAACAGCGGCTCGAGCGTCGCGCCGTCGAGGTACAGCTTGCCGTCGAGCTTCTCATCGGATGGCCTGCGGACACCACGCACCCCCATGGCGTCGGCGCGGTGACCCTGCGGTGGCCGATGCGCAGGCCGCCAGCGGTTTTTGTCGCACTGCTGGGCCTCGTGCACAGGGCCGCCGAGCTGGTGGTGCCACAAGGTGCCTCTCTCTGCTCCGCAGCAGCGTGCTTGCCCCTGTTCCCGTGCATCGAGGAGCCTGGCCTGCGCCCAGTGCGGGTTGGAGATGCGGGCCCCCAGCAGGAAGGTGCCGCGGCTGAGCTTCCGCGTCTCGTGACGAACGGATGCACTTCGCGCGCCTGGGCCAACCTCCCCTCCCAGCTCCTGAGGCCCGAGGTGCATGAGGTCGAGCCCGTTGCCGAGGTCCGCGACCATGCACCGCTCGGACTTGAAGTGCCAGTCGATCCGCGCACGGGTCAGCATCTCCGCGTCGGAGGGGGAGGCGCAGTGTTCCCGTGGCACGCCAGTTCTTGCGTGCCTGGTCTCCGCCGCCTCCAGCCCCCGCTTCATCATCATAGGCGGCAGCTCGCCTGCCTGCAGCAGGCCCGCCTTCATCTGGACTGCGTGGCCTGCTCTGAGGGCTGCAGGGTCCAGGTTACGCCTCCTCCTGAGCTCGGCACAGCGCATGCGCAGCCCTCGCTCTGCGCCCATGGGGAGCGCTCCTGCGCTGCGACTGGCCGCCAGCCGCCGACTGTGCAGCTCGCCGTCCGCGTTGCCCGTGACCGTGCGTCCGCACATCCTGCTGGCCGCGGGCTCAGCCTTGCGGATCGGGTCTAGCCTGCGCGCTCGGCGAAGCGCTCCTGCAGCTCGGACTCTGCCCTCATGCGCTCCCCACCTCGTGCTGGCGGGGTCCGAGCCGAGGTTCCTGGCCTGCAAGGTCTCGCACAGGGTCCAGCCTTGCGACTTCCCGCACGCCCCGAGCTGGCGCCCTGGCCTGGGGCTCGGAGCGAGGAAGGTCATGTTGGCAGCACTGAGGGGCAGGCGCTGACCACGGAGGCGGCGCGCCACTCCCAGCCCTGCTCCGCCGAACCACGCGGCCACCAGCTGCTCCGTGCCCACGGCCTGCAGTGCGATGTCGCCGTCGACGTTGCGAGTCACACCCTGCGGCCTGCCGCCCGCTGGGGCGGCGTGGGGGGCTTCCAGCCCAGGCGGCTTGGCTACAGTGAGGCCGCACGCCCTCCCCGCCAAACCTGGCCCGTTGGTGCTGAACGTCTCGGTGGCCAGGCCCACGACGGGAATGAACCGCGGACTCTGGTAGGGCACCGAGTCGCCGAAGGCAGCGAAGCTGTCGAGGCTGAAGCCTTTGGGTCCCAGGGCGCCCTGGAGGTACAGCGGGCATGCCAGCAGCTGCAGGCCTGACGAAGTGGACACTGTGACTCCTCTCCAGCCCTGCTTCCAGCCTGCGACGCCGCCTGAGCTCGCCAGCGGGCCCTCCTTGTCCGTGGGCTCCGACGCGTGGAGGAACGCCGTAGAGCCCATGCGCCGCGCTGCTCCTCTGGCCTCCTCCAGGCGGCGCGGGGCCAGGTGGGTCTCCAGGTGCACTACAAGGCGCGGCGGGGCCCCGCTGCGCGAGCCCGAGGCCTCGGCCCCCTCCAGGCTCCACCTCCATGCGTTGCCGTTGACCCCGAAGCTCGCAGCGGACATCCTGAGCTGCCGTCGCAGCTTGGCCTGGCGCCGGCGGGGCCTGCGCACCCCCGAGGTCGAGGGGCCGCGTGCCGCCGAAGCGGGCCGCTTCGGCGCCGCCGCCCTCCTGCTGCCTATGCAAAGCGCCTCTGGCGTGGCTACGTGCACGACAGCTGCGGCCTCTCGCCTCCGCCGCGACTCCCAGCGGCGCGGCGAGCAGGGCGAGCAGCAAGAGGGGCCAGGTCCTCAGCCTCGGTCGCCAGCTCCCGCTTGCACGCCTGGGCGACCTTCGGCCACTCACCGTGGGCGTCGCCGCGGCGCTCGGCCTGGCCCCGCTCCGCGGCGCACTGCGGCTGCCAGTGCCTGCAGCCTCCTGCGTGGTCGCCGTCCTCGCTGCTGATCTCGTCCATGGGGCACGACTCCGCCCAGGGCGCTCTCCTCGGGGCGACAGGGGCCTCGGCAAGCTGCGCGCGCACTGCCTCCACCTGGGAGCGAATGGCCGCCCGCGCCACCTCGAAGTTGCTGGAGCCCCATGCCTCGGGCAGCTCGTCCAGCTGCGCGAGGAGCCCTGGGACCTGGCTGGCCCCCGCCCGCTCGGCAGCGCGCTGGCGCAGCTGCGTCGCAGCCTCCACTCTGGCCTCCTCCTCGACGGCGTGGAGCGCACGGCTGGCCTCCTCCACCTCCGCGTCGAGCTGCGCCAGCTCCTCCTGGGCCTTCTGCAGCTGGGCCTCGACGAGTCCACGAGCCTCTTGCTTCTGCTCCAGGCTCTGGCGCCCTGCACGGAGGCGCTTCTCCGCCTTGCCGATGGCGTTCGCCTCCTTGTGGAGCATCGTCGACAGCGGCATGGAGGACGCCATCTGCTCCGCTGCGGCCCGCTGGGCCTCTGCCAGCTCGGCGCGCTTGGCCTCCAGCTGGCTGGCGACGACGTCGGGTGAAGCAACAGTCGACTCCGTCTGGCGGCTCCGCCTGCAGCGCCTCCAGCTGCTCGGCCGCCCCTTGCAGCCTCTCGATCGCAGTGGCGCCGCTGCCGCTGGGCGTCCCACTGGTGCCCGACGCCGAAGGTCTGCGACTTGGAGGTTGCCGCACTCGTTGCCGCACTGCGGGCCTGCTGCTGCGCACGGCGTCCGCGTGGCTGATCCACCCAGCCGCCCTTGTCAGCCTGGGGCTTGGTCTTGGCAGCAGCATCCAGCGCCCAGGGCGGGGCCGCGTACCCACAGCCAAGGCACGTGGTGCGCCATTCCCAGTTCCACCCACCGCAGCTGCACATCCAGTACGTCCTGCTGCGCCTGCCTCCGCTGCCGCCATCCCGCGAGGGCCGCGCCATGGCCCAGGCCACGTGGGCTGGCAGGATGCGCCTCCGCGCTGCGCATGCAGGGAGCAAAACAAAGAATTGCACTGGCCCAAAGCGAGGAGCCCCTCGCGCTCGGAACGCCGCGGACGACTCGCGGTCGTCGGGTGCTCCATGGCCTTGAGCCAAAATGGCTACGGATGTGCTCCCGCGTGTTCTGCAATGCACCTGCTTGTTCTGCCGTGCTCCTATGTGTTTTGTGTGTTCTGCCGTGCTCCTATACATTCTGCCGTGCTCCTGCGTGTTCTGCCGCGGTCCTGCTTGTTCTGCCGTGCTCTGCCGTGCACCTCCTGCTCCTGTGTTCTGCCGCGCACCAATGTGTTCTGCCGTGTTCCTGCATGTTCTGCCATATGCCTGTGTGTTATGTGTGTTCAGCCGTGCGCCTGCGTGTTCTGCCGTGCTCCTGTGTGTATGTTGTGTTCCTATGTGTTATGTGTGTTCTGCCGTGCTCCTATGTGTTTTGTGTGTTCTGCCATGCTCCTGTGTGTTCTGCCGTACACCTGTGTTCTGCCGTGCTCCCGTGTGTTATGTGGGTTCTGCCGTGTTCCTATGTTCTGCAGTGTTCTTGTGTGCATGCCGTGCTTTGCATGTTGGGCTGGCGTGATCCTGCCCATTGTCTGAAGATCGCAAGCGAAAGGTTCAGGTTTAACACGAATGGTCTTAAATCAACCTTTTCAACATCTCATGTTTTCGGGGATGTTTCAGGCGATGGCCCATCTTCACGCGCATGACACACTCGCGACTTTCATTTTCTGGTGGATTGTATATACAGATCACAATACCCTTCCCGCCAATACTTGATGCAATCACAAAGCTGAAAGTATATGATATATTTATCTCCGTACCCAAACCAAATCGCGAGTAGGTGCACCCCCCCCCGCCCAGCTTGCGAGCCGGAACGGTTGCGGGCGAAAGGGGCACTGCGCAATGCGCGAGCGAGCGAGAGCAGCAATAGCGCATATAATTCTCATTACCACCCTAAAAATCACATCCTTGCCTACCTGATTTTCACACAGGAAAAAGAAACGCTGCTAAAGAATGCGTAGCAAATTCTGTAGCAAGCCTCCAGAATATCTATGAATACTCTTGTCGGCCGGCCCGGCCAAACGCCGCCCGTGCACCGAGCGCCAGATATCAATGCATCAAATATGTATATGAGCTTTGAGAGGGTGCAAACATCACCCTTCAGATAAGCGGGCGCACTCATCATCTCTTCACATGAGAGGGTGCACGCACAATCTCTCACACCAACCGACGCCAACGCAGAGTTGGTAGTGAACCTCAGCGTACCTGAGCTGACTTGATGATACTGTAGGCAACGTAGGTTTTCATACTCGGATCGAGGGTTGTAGCTCCTGCTCTCGTCTGCGCCCAGCTTCAGACAGCATCCCCAGCAATTGGCGAAGTGCTTGTCCTTGCTGCATGTGTCTGCGAAGCTGTTGCCCTCGCGCTAGCCACTCTTGCACGCATCGGCCCCAATGCAGCCAGCCGCTGCCTGGGGGGGCCCAGGCGAGCGCGCGTCGAAAAGGGCCCCCCCCCAAGAGAAAAGCCGGGAGTGGCGCGGCGCTCGCGCGGCCGCAGCCCCGCCGCGGGGCAGCCCCCCCGAAGAGGGGGGCCCCGAAGACAGCGGCCCCGCAGAAAAGGAAAGCGGCGCAGCGGCGGCGAAGCGTCGAGGCAGCTGGAGGAATGGACAAGGAGCGGGGATGGAGGGGGGGCGGTTGGAGGGGGAGGGAAATGGGGGTGGCGCAAGCGCAGAGCCGCGCGGTCTTGGACAGCACCCAACTCAATAATTCGCGCTCGCAGGGCGCAGCTGGCCGCGCGGCGCTGAACGTCGCGCCGCGAGCGAACTGGGCAGACGGGCGCGGGCGAACCGCTTCGCCGCCTACCGTGGCGCGGCAAAGCGAACAAAAAAGATGCGGCGCTACGCGGCGCCGCGCAAGCGGGCGACCGCGGCGAGTGAAAGCTGGCCGCGTCGAACGCAGGGGGACGGAACGCACCCCCCCCGGGCGCGAGAAACGAGGGCGTTGCCACTGCAATGAAACAGCCGCAGACACGCGCGCGCCCGTGGACACAGACGGGCCAGCGCGTCGAAACAAAGATATCGCCGCGCAGCGCGGCGCGATTGCAAAGCAGAAAACACGCGCGCGCGTCAACGCGAAACCGCCGCAACACAGCGCAGCGCGACTGCGGAGCAGAACAGGGGCGCGTCGCAACAATAATACCGCCGCACTGCGCAGCACGACTGCGAAGCAGACAAAATATGTCGACGCGACGATGCCGCCACAGTGCAGAATGGCTGCGAAGCCGAAGCGCAAGTGTCAAGCACATGCGAAGTTCCAATGTAAAGTACGCTGACTACGCAGTCCGCCACGACACGAAGGCGCCGGGCGCGAGCATTAGTAAGCCGAAGGTGCCTGGACCAATACAAGTCGCGATCCACAACTTCGCTGCGGACGCGCTTCTGAGGCCCGCGGGCCCCCCGCCCGGCAACAGTCCCAGCCAAATCCCGGCCGCCGCTGGGCAATATCCCGGCCAAATCCCCGCCGCGGCCCCGCCGCGGCCCCGCCGCCGCCCAGCCGCGGCCCAGCCGCCGCCCCCCACGAAAAAAAAGGCCACCCCATTTAAAAAAACACCGCCAGCAAAATCCCAGCCGAATCCCCGCTGCGGCCCCGCCGCCGCCCAGCCGCCGCCGAGCCGCGCCCCGGCCGCGGGCCCTCTCCCTGGGGGCCCCAACATGACCTCGTGGGACCTCGCAGGGAGGAGGGGCGCGATGGGGCACAGGGGGGGCGCGACGGAGGAGCATGGCTGCAGGAAGGGGAAAGGAAGACCGCCCGGAGCGAAGGGCGGGAGGAACTGGACGGAGGGCGCGGAAGGAGGGCGGGAAGGCGACGAGGGAAATAAGGGGGGGAGAGGCGGAAGGAGGACGGACGATGGAGGCTAGAGGGAAGACAACGCAAGACAGGAAGAGGAAAGGAGGAGGCACCACCGATGAGGATTGAGAAAGGAAAGAAGTAAGGTGAACAACTGCAGGGGGGAGAGGACATGGAGTAGGGCCTGCTCAGACCTGGGAAAACATGCCAGCGACGTGAAGAAGAAGAGGGAACTGTTGGCGACCACAAATACGGCAGTGATAATGTAAGCAAATCATACCATACTTGAATGGGCGTGTTTGGTTCGATATGGACCTCCGCAACAGTGGGATGCAACGCCATTGGACCGCCGCATGTTCATCGCGGCGAATGGTAGCGTCGGCGCCGGGGCCGGCGCGCGCGAAACGCACCGGAGGAAGCTCGAAAAAATCGAATGACGAAGCGCGCACGAACGGCCCCGAAACGGACGCAATCGCAACGATTCGGCGCCGTTCGCCACGACACCATCGCTGGCCGCGCCAGCCTGACACAAGCACGCGCGAGAGACTGCCGCGCCATAGCCACCCTAACCGCGCATTCCAAAAAGCCAGCCGCCCGGGGGGGAAAAACACGCGCAAAGATGTGCGAGAGCACGGGTGGGGTCAGCTGGATGTCGGCTTTGTTTCTGTTCGAATCACACTTGGGGGGGGGTCATTTTTCGCCTGGGCCCCCTCACCACTGCCTCAGGAAAGCACTATCCCCCAGGTAGATATGTCCGTCCTCTGTGATCTCGTCGGAGCACGTCTCCACCTCGGGCTCAGCCTTTAGGCGTAGTGTAACTGTCTTGAGTTTTGCCTGCTTGATGGGCACCTCCGCCCTGCAAAGGTTGTCGCTGGTTGCGCTGTCCACCTCCATCGGTGCCATGCCGAAGTCCTCGTCGTCGCTCTGCTTAGGCTGCATTATGTAGATAAACATGACGACCCCCACGATGATAGGGACTAACGTCACCACCGTAGGAGACATTGACAGACAAACTCCGTACACTGCGAGTGCACAGAATTGAAGCAGAACTGCAACTTGGTCAGGTATCTGGATGGTTCGCTGCTGCGCGCCACTCCTTTCCAATGGGTAGCTTTCCGTCGCATCGTCCATGCGTTCATGTAGAATGCTTCGACATACTCGGTCTCGCCATAAGTCTCGTTCTTGACGCCATAGAAGCACTCGTCCACATAGTTGTACGTCTCTACCGGCCAGGTAGACATCTCATCGTTCCCCTCGGCGTCGCCGCACAGCTCCTGCCTGACGTACTTGACCATCTTCACGTTCAGGTCATCAGCCTCCCTGTCGGCTGCCACCTTCTCTGGCCCAACCAGCTTCCACCCGCGCATGGATGGTGCTCCGTCATCAGGCCCAAATGTCCACAAGCTGGATATCACAATCTTCCTCGCGTGGCCTCCTGGAAGTACCTTGGCCAACCAGTCCGCTAGCATCTGCTCGCTCTTAACCCACTTGATGCTGACCTCCTTTAGTGACTGACGTAGTATAGCCGCATCCAGAGAAAGCCTCCGATCTGTCATAGATACCTTCTCCCTCGCGATCGCGTCATGCAGGCTCTTGCAGTCGGTCGCCGAAATGAATTTCACCGGGCAGGTGTCATGCGCGATCTCGGCCGCATCCATCTCCGGGTACAGGATCACCGCCAGGGTTGACCTTGCCCACGTCAACATATCCACCGAATCTGCACATGAGTATGCCCCCGCCGATAAGAGTAGATCGCACCACTCGTTGAGTCTCTGAAGAATGCCATACAATGCCGTGGTCCTCGTTGATCTTCTCGTCACCTAGCATGATGAAGTGTCCTCGTTGCGATCTGTGCTTCGGCAGGTTGTCGAAGGCACTGTCGGTCACGTTGATCACCATGGTCTTCCACAGGTTCAGGCCAGCTGTGACCTTGATCAGTAAGTCGTCCCGCTTCTGGATTATCCTGCTAGCTGCATCCCCATCCTGCAGGTCCTTCACCGTCGGAGCTCCCAGCGTCGATGCCAATCGGGATGCCTCGAAAGCCTCTTCGAAGCAAATCATTCGCGCATCCCGCTGCAGTTGTCCAGCCACCATTCGTTATCCTCGATGCTCTGCAGGGGTAAGTGCACTGTCAAGT